CCCCAAAACCCCAAAACCCCAAAACCCCAAACCCCAAAACCCCAAAACCCCAAAACCCCGTCCAAAAACTTCTAAATAGAATAACTTCGCCCCTTCCACACAAAATGAATCATTAATTTCTATTCGATGACAAATTCCTTGAATTAGACCTTTTCACTGACTTTATTCTAGTCAATTGGTAATTATTCCTAGGTAAATTCCTGAAATTACTCTTCCTCTCTCTGGATTCCTCTAAAAGGGTTACAACCAAGCGTACTTCTTTCAGTCTGGAAGTTCTTCGTGTTCCTGCTCTTAGGAGGTTGGGAAGGCTTCCTTACTGCAGAGCCTTCCTCTGAGTGGTTAAAGTCCACTATCTGGGGGTAGTTCCTTGGCTCGTAATTTTTAAGGAGCTTCAAACTCTTCTTCTTCAGTAGTTTCTGTATTTAGAGAAGAGTCTTACCTTAGTGGTATCGCTACTCTTTGTAAGCTTGTATTTGAGACTACTGTTTGATTTCTTCCGAAGCATCCTAGTCTCCTGAGTCAACTTCTTGAACTCCTCAGCTGTAAGATGTGCCTTTGACTTAAATACAGAAGTGAGATTGGGATTTTGGCAATTAACCGTTGCCTTATTCACCCTCCTGCATGATTATTTTCCTAAATTACCTTTTATACTTGCCTAATTGGGACTGTGAAGAGTTGAACTCAGCAGAAGGGTTCTTATAAGTCTTATAAAACCCAAAATTTGTGCTTGACTCGTTGTGTAACTCTGACCCAGTTTGGCTCTTCTTTGAAATCCTCGAACCATCATTATTCCTGGAGACAAACTCCTTTGAGGAGTTGGCTCTCTCCAGTTTCCTGCTGATCTGAACTTCAATGTCACTTTGGTCCTTAATAATTGTCCTCTTCTTCTTAGGTTTCTGGACTTTGTTCTTATAAGTGATGTATAACTTGTTGTTCCCACTCATAGACTCTTTGGAAGCTAAAGAATTTACCAAGACTAAGTACTATTCTCAGAAATATTTCCAGGTTTTTGATACAATTGCTGAATCTTCGCGAACAAACGCTTCTTGTTATTTCAACGAGATCGAGCCAGCTTGGCTGCTATTGTGTTTAAAATGGAAGAGATACTCTGTGTAGCGTGGCTTCATCTCGTGGGTATGCTCCCGTACGGTTACAGATCCACTAAAAATCAACTTGAAGAACTACATCATTGGTTTCTGGCTTCTATCGTAATTAACAGTTTCTCTCGAAGTTTTAATTCCTTCCTTTGAAATAACATTTTCTAAAGGTTTCAGTGAGACGATACCATCAAATTTTTGGCAAGAGCTAGTAAGATTGCTTAGAATATTCTTGACAATCTTATTATCCTTCGTGTCCGAATTCTTGCTCAGGTCTTGATGAATAAGTGGAAGGACATATCCCCCACGATGTTCATGTAACCGCTGGGTTTCTCTATCTTTTAGAGGGAATTTATAATCCTTAAGGAGCGATTTCTTGAACCTCTTATCAACCTCTTTATTTAAACGTAACAAGCTCTGCTTCCATCTTAGGGTTAATATATCGCTCCCTTTGGAGAGGCCCGGCAGTATATGCTGGAATATTACCGTTCGAAAGCCGATGAAGCACCATTCTACGACCTTGAGCCTCTACTGATTTAGAACTCTTCTGATTTTTCTTTTCTTGTTCTTGCTCTCTTCTTCGAACAAAATTCAATTTTTTATCCTTTTTCTTCTTAAGGTCATTCATTAAGTTAGCTAAGCAATTCCAATTAGAGAATGATAAAGAAGAATTCATAGGTAAATAATCAAAAGAAGGACTTACTGATTGGTTTGGATTTGCTTCTGCCATGCTTCTCTCCGCCCTGTTCATTCCGGCGTCCTCCTTCGTACACAACGTTCTTTGGGTTAAAGATCTGATCTAGCAACTTTTTAGATCTATACAAAAAGTTAGCAAAAGCCATATTTGTTCTAACTTTATATCTTCATCAAAGTTAGGTTATAATACTTCTTCTTCATATTTTGGGATATTACGTAAAACTAAATTTAGCAGTAAAAATTATCCTAATTGGTGCTCTTAAATAAGTAGAGTTTAAAGATTCAAGATGCGAAGCCAGGATCCCCAGTTGTTAAATTGAAAGTCACCTAGAACAAGCTGCTTATAGACCAATTTACTTTAAAATGCCTGAAGTTTAAATTCTAAGCACAAACAACAAGGTTTCTAATAAGTGGATAATTAGGACTACTGACCACGCAGAAACATTGTAACCAGAAAGCCTAGATTATGGAAAGCCTGATATTTTTTATCAATTGATCAAATCAAACATACGGGTTCATTTTTTCTTTGCCCTGTTATATATTTATTATTCAAATATTAAAATCATTAGGGGTTTTGGGGTTTTGGGGTTTTGGGGTTTTGGGG